AAAGATATTGTATCCAACAACAACTAAAAAATAAATATTTTTTAAAAAAATTTAAGAATTTGTTCTTTTCTTTGTATGTTTATGTGTTAAGTTTGATATGTAGCTAAGTTTGTTTATTTTTTAATTCAATTTTAGTTTTTCTATCCCCTCATCTTTGATAAGGGATACTGTAAAATATGTACATTGTTTAAAAGTCCAAATCTTATACTAGAGGGAAAGGGAAGGAGAAGGGGAATTGCACGGAAAATGGAAGGAGACCCTCATCATTATACAGAATACATGTATGACAATGTGAGGAAAAAAAAGTGTGTCACATTAGATTGGGTAGAGAAAAGTGATGGGAGGGGAGGGGAAGGGGGGAATGGAAGGACAGCAGAATAAAATAGAAATAATTATTACTGTATGTATATACGTGACTGCATGACCAATGTGATTCTGCAACCTCTACACTCAGAAAAATGAGAAATTATATTCCATCTGATTCAAATATATTGTCAAGATCATTGAACTGTCATGTGTAACTAATTAAAACAAATTTAAAAATTATAAAAAAAAATCTTATACTACTATACACTCAAAGAAGTCTGGTACTTTACCTGGAGGTTACATGCTTCACTGATTTCTGGTTGATCCTTTCTGTATTTATTTTTCCAGAAATATGCAAACAGACACACACACACACTAATATATATATATGACATTTTACATCTGCATATGTAATATTCCCTTTTCCATATATAAAAAGTAGTATACACAGATTATTAAATTGATTTAATGTAAATAGTCACATGAAAATATCCCAACTATTGCTTTAAAAGGCCCCTCCCTTTGCCCAGGATAGAGCTGGATTGCTTCCCACTAGGATAAAGGGCTTCTCCTCCTCACCCAGAGCCAGATGGCACTGGCAGCAAGAAAGTCAAAGGTAGCTAGACTGGTACTACAGGAAGGATCTCCTCCAGCTCCAAAGCATTAGAACCAGAATATTAATGACAAGAGCACCTCAGAGAAAGAGTCCACATTTCTCAAATACCATGGGTAGGTAGCTAAAACTTGCAAATGTAGAGATAACCTACACCTCAACTTACTAAAATTCTCTGACATCTGAAAATCAGGGTAAATGTGAAGAAATTTTTAACCATTTTTAAAAAGGAAAATGATTTGTTTGGTTTTGTTTTTGTTTAATTTTACACACACACACACACACACACATTTGGTTGTCAGTGGACCTTTATTTTATTAATTTATTTATATGTGAATTTATTTATATAGAATCAAACCCAGTACCTCACATGTGCTAGGCAAGTGCTATACCACTGAGCCACAACACCAGCCCCTTGGTTTTGGTTTTGAGACAGGGTCTTGCTATGTTGCCCAGGCTCGTCTCAAACTCTTAGGCTCAAGTGACCTCCTGCCTCAGCTTATCAAATAGCTGGGACTATGACCATGCATGCCACACCCAGAAAAAAAACAGTTTTTAATTAAAAAAAAAAAAAAAACTATTCAAACTATTCTAAAGTTCATTTGAAAAAATAAAGACCCAAGAATAATCAGGAAATTTTTGAAAAAAAATATTTCCAAATGAAGCAAGATCTAGCTTTTCTCAATATTAACATATTTTATAAAACTAGAGTAATTAAGTGGTTTGATACCATTGCATGAACAGAAAGACCACTATAACAGAACATAAAGTCAAGAAATAGATCCCTGTACATACAAGAATTTCACATGTGATAGTAGTAGAATTTCTGACATAAAGAAAAGGATTAACTATTAGGTCAAAGCTGCTGAAACAAATGGAGGGCTATCAGAACCAAAATGAAGTGGACTTCCTCCGTGCCAAAATTAATCTCAAATGGATGAAAAACTCTGAACATGGGAAGCCATCCTACTTTCCTGACTGTAAGTTCCAGTTTTTAGGTGCTAGAAGGACTTTTCCATTCTTGAATTCATAAATTCAAATTGAACATTCCTTCTTCAGCAACTCCTCCAGTTCTAATAAAACAGTCTTACTTTTTAAAAATCTGAATGTAAAACATACACATATATACACACACACATAAATGCTATAAAATGTAAAATATTTATAAAAATATAAAAATAAGGTTAGGGGAGTAGCTCAGGGATAGAGCACTTGCCTAGCATATATGAAGCCTTAGATTTGCTCCCTTTCAAACATACACAAAAAAAATTTTTTTAAGTAGAAAACCAGGGGCTGGGGTTGTGGCTAAGTGGTAGCATGCTTGTCTAGCATGCCTGAGGCACTGGGTTTGATTTTCAGCACACATACAAATAAAATAAAGGTCCCTCGACAACTAAAAAATACTTTTAAAAAAAGTAGAGAACCATAAAAATACTATAATAATTTAAAGTGTGTGTGTGTGTGTGTGTGTGTGTGTATGTAAGCATGGTATACCATCATCCCTAAAGAAAAGAGAGACAATAAAACATCTTGTTGCTGAATGCCCCCTTTCTGTCCAAAAAATTTAGGGAACAATGACAGTAAACCTGAGCCAGAAAGTCCAAATACATCATATATCTTGTAAGACACTGGTTTTCTCTTATGCACACTAGAAATTCAAATTGAACATTTACTAGTATTACATGAAGAAAGTATTATATGTAGAAAGCTAGTTTCTTACATGTTCACCATAACAGTTGCTCCTTGATATGTTGGTCATGTATGCAAGCTAATGCTGATGATAATCACTGCTTCTGCAACCAAACATACAAAACAAAACCTCTCTAAGTGGGAATGGGTGCCAAACTAAGAACACTGGAAAAGATAATGTGTCATCTGTCCAGCTGGCTGCCACTGGACAAAACACCTGAGGGAAAGTAGACACTGCTTGCAAAGCACTGCGAAGGACAGAAGAGCTACCAGATCAGTCTGTTGTCACTGAACTCTTCTTGGAGCAGTCACTGATCACTGGCAAGCTTTCTCCAATAAATCACGTTTTGGACGCTGTCTCTGTGCACTTTCTTTGGCCTGGCACAACTGGGCTGTGGATGTGACACATGGCCTTTGAACTTGTTCCAAAAACACAAAAGCCTTAAAAGATTAATAGTTCTGACTTCATAAAAACACATTTCTTCATGTTAAACAAATAACATAATCAAACCTAAGACACAAATTTTAAAAACTGAGAAAATATTTGTAACACATATGATAAAGAATAAATTTTTAAAATATGTAAGCTCTCAAAGATCAATCAAAAATCTCACTGGGAAAGCCAGTCATTAAAAAGATACACAGTTGGCTTTAAACCACAGCTTCTCAACCTCTGCACTATGACATTTTGGACTAGATAATGTTTTGTTGTAGAACTGTCTGTGCACTGTTAAGATGTTTACCTCATCTAGTTGACTCCACTCACTAGATGCCATTAGAATCTACCCACAATTATGACAATCAAAAATCTCAGATATTACCAAATAGCCTCTGGGAGTCAAAAAGCTCCATGGTTTATATTTATAAAGAGATCCTCATCCTCGCTTGTGATGAAACAAATACAAAGTTGAAGTATCATGAGGAGCCATTTTTTCTCTAATTAGATTTTCATTATCAAATATTTTGTTCTGACCAAATTCAACAGGTTGGATTAGAAAACCTCATTCATCATTTTGGGTATGCAACCCTCTTGGAGACAAATATCCATATATCTTGTAACAATGATCAAAATTTAAGTACATATACTCTTTGATTCAGCAATTTTGCCTCCAGGAATTTATCCTAGAGATATGCTCACAAACACACCACTCACTGTGCAAACAGAATTCAGGAATAATCTTGGAAGCAAAGATGGAATAACCAAAAAAAAAAAAAAAACCGCAAAGATCTGGTATCCAAAAATAGGGCACAAGTTAACTAAATAAAGGTAAAACTATGTAATACATTATGCAATCATTAAAAAGAGGAGAAACATATGCATGTACTTTGAAAATGTCTGTATATCCCAAGGCATGTTAAGTAAAAGAAGCAAAGCCAAAATGGAGTTTGCTACTATTTTTTCAAATAAGTGTCCCTGTTTGGATGGTATACAAAATAGTTTATAAACCCCTATAATGGAAAGATCAGAAAGTAACAGACGTTTTCAAAGATTCTTCTTTACTTCACACCTTTTTGAACTCATTAAAGCCTTTTGGCTATGTACCTGTTTCAAGATAATACAGAATGTATCGGTTGTCATTCAGCTTGAAGCACCCAGACTGCACAGAAACAAAGTAGAATGGTATTTGCCAGGGGCTTCAGGGAAAAGGAAAACTGGGAGGTACAGTTTCTGTTTTTGAGAGATGAAAAGTTCTGGAGATCAGCTGCACAACAATGTGAACAAACCTAACACTACCAAACGGTACACTTAAAATGGCCAATTTTGTTATATGTTATCTCGCTTAAAACTTTGAAAAAAATCACTGCCAAAAGATACCCACATTTTAAGAGCAGTTTGTTACTAAATTTAAGTATCCCAACTATCTTATAACTCTAAAATCAAATGTTCCGAACAAGTGGAAACACCAAGGTCACTAGCTTGTTCCAGTGACCTTTCACCTAGAATTTTCAGGCATTCGGCTAGTCCCACGTAACTGCTTCTAAACCCAAGGTAGGGTTAAGTAGTGGGAAAACCACTCAAGACTCTTTACCTGAGGAAGAGGATTTTACACGGAGGCCTCCTGTAGTACACAACTTGGGGTTACTTTCCACGCACTAATGCACGTCCTAAGGACCCAACGCCCAGCACCTTCACTGGCCCGGGCGATTCGCAGCGACCCCACCGCGCCGTGCACTCACCCAGCCCGATCTCTCCCCGCACTGTCCCCAGCCCCTTACCCGGTGTTGGGTAACATGACTTCCGCAGACCTGAGGAGGTGGCGGCAGCTGCTAGCCGGGAGCACTAGGAGCAACTTCAATGCGCATTGAGCTCCTCAACGGCCCCGCCCCCGAGGCCCCGCCCCCGAGGCCCGCAGGGGATGGGCGCTCGAAGAAGGCGGAGATCGCTGAGTGCGCCTGCGCACGCAGTGGGGCGCCGGAGCTCCGCGTTTGTGCCTGTCCCGCGCTCAGCCAGGGCCCTGGAAACCGGTTCTCTGCGCAAGCGCCCCGAGAGACACCTCCGCCCCGCCCCTCTCCCGGGGTTCTACGGGGACAATGGACCTCTGCCCGCGTCTGCCGTGCGGGGTACGTCAGTAGCTACTTACGTCCTTGCTGGCGCCTGGGGTTTTTTCTAGAGCCAGTTTCGGGCCAGGCGAGTGACTGGTCCGCTGGGGACCCTGAGCTCTAGGGACTACCTGGGGTGCTTTGGCTCTCGACCTTTCAGTTCCACCTTTTCTCTCCACCCCATCCTCAAGCCTGGCTCCCGGCCCGCCGGCAGAAATGCACTTTGGGGCAGAAGCCAGCAAGCGTCGCCTTTCCACTCGCCCACCCAGTGTGGAGTAAAGCCTTCCTGATCTCACTCGTCTGTGGATAGCCTGTGGTGAGAGGGCAGTTTCTGGAACAGAGATCTTTTCAGAAGTCGCGCTGAAGAATTCATGCTAAATCTCGGCAGCAAAAGCCAAATTTGGAGAAGGAAAGTTTTCCTCCTAGAATAAGGTCAATTCTGGGATTCGGTTTTCCTTTTGGAAGTTAAGCCTGGAAGTAATTCAGCCATCCTAAGTGAACCAAAGGCCATGGCATATTTGAAATGAAGAAATTGTTTTGTATTTTGTAAGGGTAGACAGAATGCTAAGGAGATTGATATAGGACGCCTACTTAAGGAAACTATCTCGCTATGGGGTATGTAACTGCCCCGTGTATTGTAGGCCTGTAATGGCTCTGTTTACTCACGTATGTCACCTGCCCAACCTGTCAGTCTCTTATAGGTATTTCAACTTGTGAACCATTATATGGTTCTTCAAGACTTGAGGAATTTACTTATTCAGCAAATATTAGGCCCTACCACGCACAGGTCACTTGAGACACAGGACAAGATCTCCGTGTATATATGGGAGGAGATCTACCCTAAAAGTGTCTTAGAAAGAGTTATAAAGACGGTTGAAAAGATGAACTGTCCACTAACTCTTGGAAGCTTTTGCTGAAGGGTACGTATAGGGTGGCATCTCTTGCATAACGTCTAAAAAACTCCCTCCTTTTTGAAAGCACGTTGTCCTTGATCTTTTAGATTCCACTTCCTTGAGTGGTGTGCTTCTGTTTCCACTTGTTAAAGAAAAGGAGAGTTCAGCTAAGTGGCAAAACTAAAAGCCTTAGCCAACTTTTCAGTCATAATGTTGCTATTTTGTGAAACTGAACACCTGCACTTATGCTGTTTTTTATACTTTTGTAGAAGATAAATTTATTCCTAAATTTCTAATTAGAGGTAGTTTAAATTTAATCCATTGTATTCAATATTTTGTCTAGTGTTAAAGTATGATTTTGAGTTATCTATGAGCTCCTATACTATTACATTGATAAATCTAGAATTAGATTAATATTAGAGGAGGTAAGTGAGATTGAGGAAGATCTAGTTTTAAAAGATGAATGTTTTTGGCTTAGAATGAACAATGTAGAAAGTGTTCTGGCTGCAATGTGAAGAATAGCTTGGGAATAGATGGAGGTACAGAAGCTCATAATAATGTAGTAAGAAAAGTGAAAGGTAACCTGACTTTAAGCAGTAAGAGTGGAAATGGAAAGAGAGGCTCTTAAGAACCGACCTGATTTAACTAATGATTAGATGTGGTGTCAAACATGACTGCTGGATTTCTAGTGTAAACTCCTCGGAGGACAGTGGTACCACAACCAAAATCGGGGATACTGGAGCAGAAATCCTGCAGCAGACCACTATTGTGCTTTCATCCACAGGAAACATTTAGCTATGTTAATCTTGCAGTGACATATAGTCATGAGATTGAGTCAATGAGATGTCAGCAGAAGTGAGTTAAGCAATGTCTATTGCTTGCCTCAGCTTTCCATCCTCCTTCCTGTAGGTTGGGACATAGATATGGACTTCAGTCAGTCTAAGACAGTGGTCCTCAAACTTTACCATAAATCAGAATCACACTGTGGGGGCTGGGGTTGTGGTTCAGTATAGCACTCTTGCCTCACACATGTGAGGCACTGGGTTCGATCCTCAGCACCACCTAAAAATAAATAAATAAAATAAAGGTATTGTGTCCATCTATAACTAAAAAAAAAAAATTAAAAAAACACACTGTGCACAAGAAAGTAGTTTCTTGAAAAATTAAAAATAGCTAGACACAGGAAAATGTGCCTATAATCTCAAAGACTCAGGAGGCTGAGGTAGGAGGATCACAAGTTTGAGATCAATCTTCCCAACTTAGCAAAACCAAAGAAAATGTAAAAGAAAAATCACCACATGACCCTGCACTTCCTCTTCTGTGCATAGACCCCAAGGAAAAACCAAAGAGAGATTTGCATACCCATTTTTGTAGCAGCATTCTTCAAAATAGATTACAAGTGTCCCTTGAATGAATGCATAAACTAAATGTGGAATATCCAATGTAATATTAACTCACCCTTAAAGAAAATGGTGGCTTATGTGACAACATGGATAAACTTTGAAAACATGTAAAGTTAAATAAGCCATAAAGGTCAAATACTAAATACTTCAATTTATATGAGGGATATGGAGTAGTCAAATTCAAAGACACAGAAAGTAGAAAGGTGGTTTTGTCTGGAGCCAGTAGGAGGGGGCATGACAGAGTTTCAGTTTTAGAAGATGAAAAAAGTTTTGGAGACAGATGGAGATGGATGTGTAATTGTTGTACACAGTGTGAGTGTACTTACTGCCACTACCTGTAAACTTAAGAAATGATAGAGTGCTTGCCTAGCATGCACAAGGCCCTGGCTTCCATCCCTGCACTACCAAAAAAAAAAAAGTTAACAACGGTAAATTTTGCCATTATTTTTTCAAAATAAAAAAAAATGCTGGCATATTGGTATATTCCTGTAATTTCAGCTACTTGGAGGCTGAGGTAGTACAATTAACCAGCCTAGGCAATTTAGCGAGACCCTGTCTCAAAATGAAAATTTAAAACAAGGACTGTGGATGGCGCTGGAGTCATAGCACAGTGGTAGAGCACTTGCCTAGCATGTGTAAGGTACTGGGTTTGATTCTCAGCACCCCATATAAATAAATAAAGATTCATTGAAAATTTAAAAAAAAAAAAAAAAAGGACTGTGGATATATCTCAGGTGGAGATCACTTGCCTAACATGTACAAGTCTTAGGTTCATTATCAAAGGAGTAAAAAATGAAGTGCTGGGTTTCAACTATAATGTTTCTGATTCAGTAGAGCTGCAATATTTGCTGAAAATTTGCTGTTGTTACTTATCCAGGGAAGCTACTTTGAAAACAACTGCCTTAGGGTATGATAGAGAAACAATGTGGAAGGTACCTGGGTCCCTGCATGTTCCTCAAAGGACAGAGTTGCCTTTTCAACCTGGACCATATACCAACCTCCATACTGTTATGAGAGAAAGAAATAAACTGCATTTTTTAAATTATTGTATTGCTTTTTTTATAGCCTCTAAACTTGTAACTTAATTAGTATAAACCCATCACAATGGAAAATGACCATTTCAAACTCAAGGTATTCAGAATTGCTATCAGACACTCAAATGAAGATGTTGGTGAGCAACTTTGAGCAAGCACATCATTTATTAAAGCTGGAAATAGGGCTGGGGACGTGGCTCAAGCGGTAGCGCGCTCGCCTGGCATGCGTGCGGCCCGGGGTTCGATCCTCAGCACCACATACAAAAGAAAAAAAAAAACAAAGATGTTGTGTCCGCCGAAAACTAAAAAATAAATATTAAAATTCTTTAAAAAAAAAAAGCTGGAAATAATACATTTCATAGCCTTTACCTTATAGGTTTCAAAGATATGTGTATGAAAGTCACCAGCGCATATTCCCTTGATTGCCATAACACATTACACCACAAACTTGATGGCTTAAAATAGCAGAAAGTTGCTGCGCATGGTGGCACATACCTGTAATCCCAGCAACTCAGGAAGCTAAGGCAGGAGGATTGTTAGTTCAAAGCCAGCCTCAGAAATTTAGCAAGGCCCTAAACAACTTAATGAGACCCTGTCTCAAAATATATGTAAAATAAGGGCTGGGCTGGGGATATAGCTCAGTTGGTAGAGTGCTTGCCTCACATGTACAAGGCTCTGGATTCAATCCCCAGTACCACACACACACAAAAAAAAAGGGGGGGGGGGGGCAAAGGGCTGGGCATGTGGCTCAGTGGTTAAGTGGCTCTTGGTTCAAGTTTGGGTACCAAAATAAGAAGAAAAAAAATTGGGGCTGGGATTGTGGCTCAGTGGTAGAGCGCTTGCCTAGCACCCCCAGGACCTGGGTTCGATCCTCAGCACCACATAAAAATAGAGCATTGTGTTGTACCCATCTACACCTAAAAAATAAATATTTTTTTAAAATAAATAAATAAAATAATAGAAAGTTACTCTTTCACAGTTTTGGAGCCAAGAGTCTGGAATTAGTTTCACTGGGCTATAATCAAAGTGTCAGCAAGCCTGCACTCCAGACTGGAAGCTTTAGAAGAGAATCCATTTATTGCCTCTTCCAGTTTCTACCGGCTTGATGACTACCAGCATTGTTTGGCTTCTGACTGCATTATACCAACATTCAAGGCCTACATCTTCAAATCTCTCTGTTCTATCTCCACATTGCCTTCTGTGTGTGTCAGATTTCCCTCTTTTCCCCCTTAATAGTATATCTGTAATGGCATTTAAAGCCCAGCCAGAATACAATGTAGGAAAATCTCCCAATCTAAGAATCTTTAATCACATATGCAAAGACCCTTTTTCTAAATAAGGTAACATTATCAGGTTCCAGAAACTAGGACCTGAAAAGAAATTGGAAAAAAAAAATTCAATGAAGAAGAAATGATTTGAAAACTTAGTTATTGTGAATGCCAAATAAGTCTCACTGGTTTCACTCCAAATCTGCTTCATAAAACCAACTCAAAATCTCCATATTTCCTTGATGGGCTATTTGCTGCAACACACTCTCCCATAGCAATTTCTTTCCTTTAAATGTTGGTTATACATAACAGTAATTTAATCTGGCTAGTTTAAACCAAATTAAAGGGGGGAAGGTAGAGAGGAACTTACTAGGAGAATTCTGAGTTGGTTTATATAATTAAAGGAGTTTAATGACTAATCCTAATAATGGGAACCAGAGTAATTCTAAGAACCTATCTTCTCTGTGTATCTATTCAGTTCCAAATACTAACAAAAACACTAGTAAAATGATTCAACCTGCAAATCAGCCATGACCAGGGATAAAAATAGACATGAACAACTGGGAAGTAATGAAACATTGCCTGCCTACCAAACACAGGTCATCTCAGTTGTGTAAATGTAGAGTTAACATATTGGAATTCATGATTCAGGGAAGAAAAGGTTGGTAGGATTTTTCATTTGGAGAGCTTAATTAAGGCTTCTCTCCTTGGTATGTAGTATTCTAGGCAGGTCAAACAACTATATGCATAAAGAACCTAGGAACCTAGAGGTAGGGAAGGGATCAATGTCCGACCCATTTTCCTTGAGATCTGAGGTTAGTAAAGGAATTTTGGAGAGGTTCTGACAAATGATCAGGGGCCCCCGAATTAAAATTAACTTGAATACATGAGACACCTAGGCTTAGGCTCAGGGCTCTACACAGAGGCCTAACAATATGAAGAGGTATTCACATGTTTATGGCAAAGCTATTCATAATAACCAAAAGGTGGAAATAACCCAAATGTCTGTCAACTGATGAATACATAAACAAAATATGGCATATGTAATAAATGGATGTTATTCCTCCATAAAAGGGAATGAAGTACTGATAAGTACAATGTGGATGAAACTCAAAAACTTGCACTAAGTGAAAGGAGGCAGAAACCAAATATCACATAATGTATGATTTCATTTAAATGAAATGTCATAATAGACAAGTCTATAGGGATAGAAACCAGATTGGTGGTTGCCATAGGCTGAGGGGAAGTGAGAAATAGGGAGTAACTGCTTTACATCAACCCTTTTGGGATAATGAAAATATTTTAGAACTAGATATCGGTCATAGTTGCACAACAGTGAATATGCTCAGTGTTCTGATTTGTTCACTTTAAAATGGTGAATTTCACCTTGAAAAAAGTGCTAGAAAAATATTCATGGAGGAAGGCTAACCTTGAACAGAATGTGGCTGGTAATAAATAGGAAGTTCTTCAAGACCCAGCCACCTTTGTATACTTATGTTTTGGAAAGCAGTGACTAAGCAAAGAAGAATGAAGTGTAAACTAAGAAATGAAATATATTAGTTGGGGCTGGAGTTGTGTCTCAGTGGTAGAGCACTTACCTTGCAAGTGTGAGGCACTGGGTTTGATCTTAGAACCACCCCTTTATTTAAAGAGGGCTGGGTTGTGGCTCAGCTGTAGAGTACTTGCCTAGCGCATGCAAGGCCCTGTGTTTGATCCTCAGCACCACATAAAAATAAATAAAGGTATTATTGTGTCCAACTGCAACTAAAAAATAAATATTAAAAAAACCCAAAGGCATTGAGTTCATACACAACAAAAAAA